CCGCGTCGGCTATATTAAAATCCGTTGAGCCGCGCTTATGTCGAAGCCCACTTATGCAGATTGAAACAGTAGTAATTACAAGTCAAATTAAATAGTGCATCTCCTGTTAAGAAATTGCATCTTGATATTGCTAACGCGATACTGTCATAAAATCATTATAATTATTAATTTTATAATGATTACACAATAATTATTATTAATAATTTATTAGCATTGCTATATCGTGAAATTTCCTGAAAATAGTAAAAGAGAAACATCTTATTATAAATAATCTCTTTCTTTGATTTTAATTTCCAGAAATCAAATCTATTCGAATCGAATAGTGCATCTCCTGCTAAGAAATTGCATCTTGATATTGCTAACGCGATACTGTCATAAAATCATTATAATTATTAATTTTATAATGATTACACAATAATTATTATTAATAATTTATTAGCATTGCTATATCGTGAAATTTCCTGAAAATAGTAAAAGAGAAACATCTTATTATAAATAATTTTTTATAATCTCTTTCTTTGATTTTAATTTCCAGAAATCAAATCTATTCGAATCGAATAGTGCATCTCCTGCTAAGAAATTGCATCTTGATATTGCTAACGCGATACTGTCATACAATTATTATAACTATTAATTTAAATAATGATTATTATAATTGCTATCTATTCATGTGCCTGAAAAATAGTAAAAGATATCTTGTTATATAAATAATTTTAATTTCTCTTTTACTTTGATTTTAATTTCCAGAAGCTGTTTTATTTATTATTATAGTTATTTTTTTATCTGTATTTCCTTTTTCCATTTGCGTTTATTGACGTAGCAGTTTCGTCGACACAATTAGACGCCGTTATGTTACAAAATAAACGATATATTTGTTATTCAGCGCGTGTCACGTAGAAAAGCGCAGCATCCACGCATGCAGAGTAGTCTAGAATCTTGAACTTCCAGAGACATCCTTTCTTCTTCTTCGCACTTCCTCTGCCAGGAATATCGTTCGAGATTATATTAAATCGCACGTACCCGAGGACGGAACCGTAGCGTGAATTAAATTACGGAATGTTTCTGACAACGAGATATAAGAAATTTTCCCAGGGAATTTATTGATTGTATCTTTAAAACAGATATTTTGCATATATAGTAATTAGCAAGAGGAAGAATGAATAATTCTTATAAAACAAAACATAGTGCTTCTTACAAAAGAAGAGACTATTTGTTATTATATATTATAATAAATTGTTACAATTATAATATATTAATTACATTATTATTAAAGGGAGATATTTTACGTACTGCATCGTTTCGTCCAGTCAAAGTCTTGGTTATTCCGTTTAAAGCCATGCAATAAATTTGAGGGATATAAACGTAGGTCCATAGAGAGATTTGTCATAATTCTCAGTCGCAATCGTTGTTCCAAGAAGAGAAGCAGAAATTCTCTGAAAGTCTCGACATGCAACATATTTGCAATTTTAAAACGGTTTTATCCCACGTCACGCACGGAGGACCACGCGGAGTGTCGCGATGCGTAGCGAAGACTCGCCGTGAATATCCCTTTCTGCTTTTTTATTCGCTCTAGCGAGAATATTGACGTTATATTAAATCTCGCGGAGTCGGGAAAGTGATTTATCGGTAGCTCCGGCGAGAGGAAGAGCCGGTGAGGAATAGGCGGAAGAGAACGGGGGTTCCAGACGAGAGGAGAACCTCGTAAATTCTTCCAATCACCGACAAATGTTACCAATTCCAAGACGTGCGGTGCTGCTAGAAAGCTGAACGCCACCCTCGCGCGTGTTCACTTCCGTGTCTAAGCTTTAATAAGAAAACAGTACACACACAGACACAAAGTGTCAAACGTCAAGATTAATCAATCGTCGATCTTTTCGATTCAACGACTTTCCTCGAGAATAAGTATCATCTAAATTTTATTGTTAGATCAAATCAAATATCTCAGTCTTTTCTTTGGACCATCTTCAAGAACGTAGGACGAAGATGTTATGGATGATACGGGACATTTTTTGCTAATTAATTTGTTTAAGATGATGCAAAGGAAGGATCGAAACGTTCAAATTATTTCAAAAACCCATTAAATAATATAAAAACCGACAATGCCAAAATATGAGAATGAAATACAATAATTCAACAAAAATAGCAATAACTTTTGTATGTATATTTTCTTTATTATATGTATATTCTTTTTACAAGGGAAAAAGACTGTCATTATTAATTGTTGGCTATATTCTCTATTTATTATTTATTTAATCATCAATTGATATCCCTCTTTTTAAGAAAGGATATTTACAGTTTATCGTTTCTGATAATCTTAAACGTTATTTTTACGCATGTGCATATATACATATCTATTATCGTTTTTATAAATTGCAAATATAAATTGTCTATAACATTGTCTATACTTATTGCGAATTATTTTAATTTGATAGGTTAAAAAATATTCTTCTCTTCTTCTTTTTGAATACTATTTATTCCAATTTATTTTTTTAATTTACATATAGATGTGTAGAAGTGAATAAAGTAAAATTTTATTATTTATTGAAAAAAAATTTGAATATTTTCATTTTCTTAAGATTATTAAATTTTTCCATCATCATCAGGATATCATCATCGTTTAATTGTATATCATTGTTGCCAGTATCATTGTTTTTATGTCGTCATATAGGTGGATCTCCAGAATCTGAAGGAAAATATAATAATAGTATTAAATTTGAAAAATCTTATTCAGAATATTTCTACATGTATGAGAAATATATTACATAGAAATGACAAAATTCAATACAAATTGAAAATATTCGTAAATCTCGAATTTATAACTTAATTTAATATAAATATATAACTATATTTAATATGAGCGTTGCATGAAAGGAAAGAAATACTTATCATATGTATAAAACTTTTAATTTTTGATTAATATACTTACTTTTATTTTCTTTAATTCAAAGTACAATGATATTTATATATATTAAATAATATTTAAATGAATATATATTATATCAGATATATAAAATAAGATTTTATAATATTGTTAAGAGGAAATGTTTTATCAAATTTAAAAGATGTAGCGATGAAAATTCTTATTATTTCTATAGTATTATTTACCATTAATTTCTTTCCAACTTATATAGACATTTTATATTAAATTTCTAATACACATAATGTTAACGTGTTATATATTTATATTGTATACGAGTACTATTATAATATAAATCATACTATTATATGAATTTAAAAAATCTAAAAGTGGTTCAGCTAATTTTTTTTATTCAGTAGACGTCATACAAAAAACTATATATTATTATATACATGTATATATATATATATATATATATATATATATATATATATCAATTTATACATTTATATTATTTTTAATAAATTGGTGTTTTATTTTTTATTTACAAAATTTACTTACATTGTAGAATTATTATTCATTTTTATGCTCGACACAATCTCTGGGGATAATCGTTCTTATTCTCTCTATTATTTTTTCGGCTGTACACTTACTCGTACAATCAGCAATTACTTCACTAGGAATAATAATTCCTACAATCAAGACGAGCACGAATATAAAAATGAAACTAGGCTTCATGGTTTAATAAATCTTCGAAATATTTAGTAAAGCAAGATATAAGTTGTAGTGGCGATCGTATTCGATTTGTCCAACTTTATAAGAGAACTTGTAATAAAATGTTTATCTAAACAATAAAAAATTCTATCAGAAATGTTTATATCGTAGTTTAAGATAAATTTGATATTCATATAATAAATATCGTAAACTTGTAATAAATAATGACATTTTGTGTGCTTTTATATCTATTTGAATACTTCTTTACAGCATAAAAAATTAAGTTAAAAAAATGTAAGATAAAGTTTATAAAATTTTCATAAACGTCATAAATGTACATTTTATAACGTAATTATTTCAGGACTTATCAAAAGACACAGTCTATCTTATCAGAGAGATGTGCCTCATATATTGAGTCACTAGTAATAAACATATATTTCTTATTAGTGTCATAAAAAATATAAATATGTTGTGTATGACGAATAATAATATAAAAAATTATTATCAAAGAGAGAAAATGATAAAGATAGAGGGTTAGACAGAAAAGAGAGAGAAAGGGAAGAATTGATTTTATTATATCTTCAATATATGTATCCCCCCCCCCCCTAAACGTTATAAAGAATTATTAGCTATGTCCACTTTCGAATATTTTGAATATTTATTGTGTATAATTTGTAGTATGCATTTAAATAAAATTATAAAATAATAAACATCTCCTTAAATAACTTTTTGAACAAGTATCATCTAAATGAGAACAAGTATGATCTAAATTACATTGTTAGATCAATTCTCCGTAATCAGTTATCTGGATCTCGAAGAAAATGCAGAAATAGAAAAGTTATAAATTAATGATATTAACTTTTTTTAACGAAATATGTCTGAGCAATTACCTTATATCATATACAATGCCTATATATTATCATATTGTATAAAGAATCTTATATATATACAAAATTATATTGTCAATCATTGCTTTTCGAACTCAAAGTAATCATTGACAATTAATTTATAAATTATATATATAAAGAATGTGTGTGTGCGTATGTTTTTAATATTATTTATTTTGTCAGAAATAAATATTTTTATCGGCTCTCAATATAAAGAATATAAATATGATGTTTTCTAAATCGGCCAACAGAGCCAAAGCACGAAAAATTAATTAATCGGAACTGTATCTCTTGGTTTGAGATCACAAATTATTTATTTTGATTAATCTTTCAACTTATACACATACGCGCGCGCATATGCATGTTCAAAATATTTTATATTTTTATAATATATTTTAGAATATTTTATTTTAGACAAAACAATTCTTTAAAAAATAAAAAATGTCATATATTGAAAAGAAATATTTATCGATTCGAATATTTTTATTTCCTTAAAGTTGTGCTAACAATAAAATTAAATTTTTAATAAAGAATCGACAGAATATGTTATATAATATATATTGTCGTTTGATTGTATATAATTGTTGTCAGCATTTCCATTTTTATGCCATTATAGACGTTTTATAGCCTTTTTCCAAACCTGCAATAAAAAGAAGAAATCGCATAGAAATAAAATATATAAATAAGATAAAATTTGTTTCGAAGTTTTTAAAAATAATCTGCACACACATACGCGCGCGCACGCACACACACACACACACACAAATACACACGAGTTATATAATTTAATGAAAATTTAAAATAAAACTATATCAAAATGAAAAGAAAAATGTAGGCCAACTGAACGAGCTAAATTAATTAAGCTAAATTAAACTAATTTATTATTCATATAATTCGCATGTATAATTGTTAAAACTATATCAAATTTATTTTATAATTTCTATGAAATCAGTTTTATTAAAATCTTCTATAGTTAAATTCTTTAATAATAAAACGAAAAGATTCTAACGTATAAATTAAAATTTGTAGAAAACGGACTAATAAGAACCAGTCACAAAAATTAGACACAACAAATATGTCTTTTCAATTCTTTTATAATTAATTTAAACATTTTAGAGTCTTTTCTTTGAACCATCTTCAAGAACATAGGACGATGTGAATGAATACGGGAAATTTTTTGCTAACCAATGTGTTGAAGATGATGCAAAGGAAGGATCGAAACGTTCAAATTAATTAAAGAAGAACTAAAAAAAAAAATTTGTTGCGGTTAATTCCCGCGTCAATATATACTTCTTAGCCCGTTTCCTACCTGAATTTGTATTATATATTTTTGTATATATAATATATTATTAGTGTTTATCTTACATAATACTAATATATTTATATGTTACTATTATAAGTTTTACTAGAATATAAAATATATTAAATTAATATTAATTTATTCAACAGAATTTATTTGAACAAAACGACAATTATGATTACATAATTTATTAATTTTTATTATTTTCAGTATAAGTGTTTTATTTTTATATTTAAAAATATATACTCACAATGAAAGATTAGACGAGATCAGGACAGGTTTAAGAGCTTTAATCCTTCAAAATTTTCGATTAGATTCCGAGCATCAAGACACGTTTGATCGAGATATTTAAGTGATACATTTTTCAAGATTTTTATAATGGTATGCAAATTGTCAGTTGTATCTTCAGCAATGACTTCTCTAGGAATAGTAATTCCTAAAATTATAACAATCACAAACACAAGAGCTAAGTTTGCCTTCATGGTTTATTTTTCGCAATACTTGGTGAAGCAAGATTTAAGTTCTAGTAGAAATTGTATTTGATCTGTCCCATTTTATAGGCAAACATGTGTATAATAAAATTTTTATCTAAGTAATACACAATTCTATCACAAATATTTATTATTGCACTTTCGATGTAAATATGATATTGATGTTTTATGTTGTATGTTTTATGTTCTTCGTGTTTGTAATCTATATTCGAACTTCTTTACAGCATATACATATAAGATAAGGATTGTCATAAATGCATATAGGTATTTTATTATATTACGTCATGTGTTTTTTAAATATTTTTTATTATTGAACGTTGGACCATTATTAATTTTTTAATATTTTTAAATACATTCTTTTAGTTTTTAAAGAGTGTAATGTTTTATGGTTGTATCCTTCAGATAGTATAACGTTATGTTATATGTAACGTGTTTTTTCAATATTTTTTATTATCAAATGGAAGATTTTATTAATATTTTCTAATATTTTTATTATAAATCCATTTTTTATTATAAATTTTATTTGATAATAAAAAATATTAAAAAAACACGTGACATAACATAACGTTATACTATCTAAAGGACACAACCATAATAACATTCTTTAAAAATGAAAGAATTTGTTTAAAAATATAAAGAAGTTAATAATGGTCCAATATTCAATAATAAAAAATATTTAAAAAACATACCGTAATATAATAAAAAATATGCATTTATGACAATTTTTATCTCATATCTATATGCTGTAAATAAGTTCGAATATAGATTACAAACACGAAAAACATAAAACATGTCGTTGTTTATTATAACTATAACATTTATCATATATATAAATATCATATTTACATTAAAAGTGCAACAATAAATATTTATGATAGAATTGTGTATTACTTAGATAAAAATTTTATTATACACATGTCTGCCTATAAAATGGGACAGGTCAAATAAAATTTTTATTAGAATTTAAATCTTGCTTCATCGAGTATTACGAAAAAATAAACCATGAAGACAAACTTAGCTCTTGTGTTGTTATAATTATAGAAATTATTATTTCTAGTAGAGTCATTATGCTAAAGTTGCAACTGATTTTTATACCCTTAAAAATATCTTCAAAGATGTATTATTTATAAATCTCAATAAAACGTGGGTTAATGCTCAGAATCTAATGAAAGAAGTTTTTAAGGATTAACACTCTTAGATCTGTCCTGATCTCGTCTAACCTTTTACTGTGAGTATTTTTTAAATATAAAAATAAAACATTTAAACTGAAAATAATATAAATTTATTAGATTATATGTATATCATAATTGTCCTTTTGTTCAAATAAATTCTGTTAAATAAAATAATATTAATTTAATATATTTTAGATTCTAGTAAAACTTATAATAATAACATATAAATTTATTAGTATTATGTAAGATAAACATTAATAATATTATATATGTAAAAAAAAAAAAATAATACAAATTCTGGTAGGAAACGGACTAAGAAGTATATCGACGCGGAAATTAGACGCTACAAATTTCTTCTTTAAATTCTTTTTTAATTAATTTGAACGTTTCGATCCTTCCTTTGCATCATCTTCAACAAATTAATTAAAAAAAATTTCCCGTATTCGTCCACATTGTCCAATGTTCTTAAAGATTGTCCAAAAAAAAGACTGAAATGTTTAAGTTAATTAAAAAGAATTGAAAAAACATCTTTGTTGTGTCTAATTTTACATAATACAATAAAAATTGAAATGATTTATAAAAAGAATATTTATAGTAACATAAAATTTTATTTCACATATGTTGATATGATTAATAATAATATAATAATGCATGCATGCATGCATTTCTAAGAAAGGCATGTTATTTATTTATCGAAGTCTCGAAGTGTATTGTTGCCTTTAATCCGCGATGCCGATTGGTTCTATCGTTGCGTTTGCTTCGTGAGCCGCTATCATTGCATATTTTGACAGTTATGTGTATCGAGGGGTTATTGTATTGAAAGTTATGCAATTATAAAGGATTTTGTGTATAATTGTTATTTATTAATTTTGTTATTTAGTTGTTTTTCAATTAATAAAAAAATAGAAATTAGGTGAATTATATGTGAATATAATTATAATATAATATAATAATATATAATATAATATAATAATATATAATATAATATAATATATTATATTATATATATAATAACATATATCTTTTACATGTTGATCATCTATTACATTATTCGAGAAGGGCCAAAATCGATGGCCGAAACGTCGAAAATTAATTAATAAATAATTTTTGAAGCCAGAGTTAGTCGATTATTGGTTTCTTATTTATTTAACTGTCTGGCTAACTAATAGAAGTTTATCATATATAATCTTTTAAATTTCTTATTGCTTTTTTTTCTTAAGGAGAGAAATTATTTTGAAAAGCATTAAATAATATAAAAATCCATTAAATAATATAAAAACTGATAATGCCAAAATATGAAATAACAATTCAACAAAAATAGCAATGACTTTTGTAGGTATGTTTTCTATATTATATGTATATTCTTTTTACAAAGGAAAAAGACTGTCATTATTAATTGCTCGCTATTCTCTATTTATTATTCATTTAATCATCAATTGATATCTCTCTTTTTAAGAAAGGATATTTACAGTTTATCGTTTCTGATAATCTTAAACGTTATTTTTACGCATGTGCATACACATATCTATTTTCGTTTTCTTAAATTGCAAATATAAATTGTCTATAACATTGTCTATACTTGTTGCGAATTATTTTAATTTGATAGGTTAAAAAATATTCTTCTCTTCTTCTTTTTGAATATTATTTATTCCAATTTATTTTTTTAATTTACATATAGATGTGTAGAAGTGAATAAAGTAAAATTTTATTATTTATTGAAAAAAAATTTGAATATTTTCATTTTCTTAAGATTATTAAATTTTTTCATCATCATCAGGATATCTTCATCGTTTAATTGTATATTATTGTTGCCAGTATCATTGTTTTTATGTCGTCATATAGGTGGATCTCCAAAATCTGAAAGAAAATATAATAATAGTATTAAATTTGAAAAAATCTTATTCAGAATATTTCTACATGTATGAGAAATATATTACATAGAAATGACAAAATTCAATACAAATTGAAAATATTCGTAAATCTCGAATTTATAACTTAATTTAATATAAATATATAACTATATTTAATATGAGCGTTGCATGAAAGGAAAGAAATACTTATCATATGTATAAAACTTTTAATTTTTGATTAATATACTTACTTTTATTTTCTTTAATTCAAAGTACAATGATATTTATATATATTAAATAATATTTAAATGAATATATATTATATCAGATATATAAAATAAGATTTTATAATATTGTTAAAAGGAAATGTTTTATCAAATTTAAAAGATGTAGCAATGAAAATTCTTATTATTTCTATAGTATTATTTACCATTAATTTCTTTTCAACTTATATAGACATGTTATATTAAATTTCTAATACACATAATGTTAACGTGTTATGTATTTATATTATATACTATTATATGAATTTAAAAAATCTAAAAGTGATTTAGCTAATTTTTTTTATTCAGTAGACGTTATACAAAAAACTATATATATTACTATGTATATATACAGGGTGTCCGGTAACTAACGGACCAACGATCACAAATGGATTCTTTGGTCAATTTGGGAACGATTTTTCCTCAACGAAAATGTCGAAAAAGGTCATCATTTTTTACAACTTTCCAATATTTGTCATTATGTATCTTTATAACTAAGCTCAAATTAAAATTTTATTATAGTAAACTCTACCTGAAATTAACTGAAGAATGTAATTATGTTAGACTTTTAACTCCAAAACGTTTAGTTTTCAAAAAACCCATTTTTTTAAATCGCTTATAACTCGAAAATTATTGACTTCTCAACATTTTTACTCAACATAGTTACCGGACACCCTGTATATATATAAATATATATATATATAATCAATTTATACATTTATATTATTTTTAATAAATAGGTGTTTTATTTTTTATTTACAAAATTTACTTACATTGTAGAATTATTATTCAACTTTATGTTCGCCGCCACATTCTATGGGCATAGCCTTTCTTACTATCTCTATTATTTTTTCGCCTGTACACTTACAATCAGCAATTACTTCACTAGGAATAATAATTCCTACAATCAAGACGAGCACGAATATAAAAATGAAACTAGGCTTCATGGTTTAATAATTCTTCGAAATATTTAGTAAAGCAAGATATAAGTTGTAGTGGCGATCGTATTCGATTTGTCCAACTTTATAAGAGAACTTGTAATAAAATGTTTATCTAAACAATAAAAAATTCTATCAGAAATGTTTATATCGTAGTTTAAGATAAATTTGATATTCATATAATAAATATCGTAAACTTGTAATAAATAATGACATTTTGTGTGCTTTTATATCTATTTGAATACTTCTTTACAGCATAAAAAATTAAGTTAAAAAAAATGTAAGATAAAGTTTATAAAATTTTCATAAACGTCATAAATGTACATTTTATAACGTAATTATTTCAGGACTTATCAAAAGACACAGTCTATCTTATCAGAGAGATGTGCCTCATATATTGAGTCACTAGTAATAAACATATATTTCTTATTAGTGTCATAAAAATATATAAATATGTTGTGTAATATAACGAATAATAATATAAAAATTATTTATGAATAATAATATAGAAAATTGTATTATCAAAGACACAAAAAGATAAAGATAGAGAGTTAGACAGAGGAAAAGGAAGAATTTATTATATCTTCAATATGTGTATCCCCCCTATAACATTATAAAGAATTATTAACTATATCCACTTTCGAATACTTTGAATATTTATTGTGTGTAATTTTTAGTATGCATTTAAATAAAATATAATAATAAACATCTCTTTATAAATAACGTTTTGAATAACTTTTATGAAGAACTTTAAATAACTTTTTGTTTTTGAGTAACTTGTGTCTCGCAGATGAGCCATTTTGCGGTTATTATTATTTCCTACGAAGAAGAATTTTTTCAAAATCATATATATATATATATATATATATATATATATATATATATATATATTCTATATATCATAAAAAGATATCGAAAAATTTTTACACGTTTTTAATACAAATATATATATATATATATATATATATATATATATATATTCTTGTATTAAAAACGTGTAAAAATTTTTCGATATCTTTTTATGATATGTAGCAATATTCGGTACTTTTTTAACGTTTCATCGTTACACGAAATTGCAACAGTGTCCCAATTACGATATGACAGCTTCGAAGCTTTTAAGCAGCGCTGCGAAAGCTACAGCAACATTTTTCAAGTGAAAAGTTCTGAAAAGTTTTCAGCCATGCTAGTTATTTTGAATAATTTTATGTAAATCATATTTTATAATTCTTTATGAGGATGCTTATAACTTTTCTTATCGATATCGGGTATAAAATTTACAGATTGCAGAAGATTACTAGCTCACATTCAAATATAAGATAACGAGAGGATAACTACATTGAGAAATAAATAATAGTTATAATTTATAGTTAAGTATGTTTTCTTTTTTTTGGAGAGAATGATAAAGTTATATAATATTGAGAAAAAAATAATATATATATTATATGTATATAATTCATAAAAAAGAAAGTTTATGGTAACATATTTTTTCTCTTTCTCTCTTCGTTGTATTTATATATATATATATGCATGTGCACTTAGAAGTCATTGTTTCGAGCCAACAAATTATCTTTGTTGATCTTTTACTATTGGAGAACGTAATGCGCAAGTTAATTAGTGCATAGATGCAGGACAAACGCGAGGTCGATGCATTTTCCTGCATATATCTCTGCCCTATCTCTCTGCGTCTGTTTCTCTTCATGTGCTATTGAATTAATTCTAGCACGCCTAGCTTTGTGCAGTATCTCTCTGATATCAGAAGCATGACAGCATGACCCGAGGCGGAGCGCAAACTTTTATCGAAACGAAATTGAACGAACGAACATACGCCAAATGCTATCGGTCCCTGTTACGTCTGCAGGTCTCATTATTGTATCTCTGCGAGAACGCATCATTAAATCCGGCCTTTTACCATTTTGTTCGCAGCCATACTCCTTGTACCCTTTCGATCGCGAATCCTGCTCCTGCAGCTGGATCACGCATCGGCACGAGATCGGAATGAAATTTTTTTCCCTTTAAAATGTTACCTGTGTGCACGCCCGACGGCGGCGGATACCTGTAGGTCGGCCGATTACAAAGGAATCAACGGCGAACAATTGGATTTCTCTGATCGAGCAACCAACGTCGCATTCCCGAGGGCGAAGTTCACGGGCGCATCCAGAAATTCGATTGCCGCATGAAGGAGCAGCGTGGGCGGAGGACGATACTGCAGATTTTGCCGCAGCGCATATTATCCGAAAAACATTTCTCATAACGAGTCTCGACCATTTTTTTGCCTAACATCCATCACGTCAGCAGGATCGCGTAATTTTGACGGGAAAAATATATCTCTCTCGATCGAGAACAAAAATCATCAACAAATCGTCTCATATTGTATTTTATTTTTAAATTCATAAATATTTGAGATCAATCAAAATTTATTATATATCTGTACTTGTGGACATCAAATGCGGTCTTATCTCTATTTATTTGTTCAATGCAACATTAGATTAACTGCGTCAAGTTGCGCTGCCGCCGATTTTGCTAATTAATTACTAATTACCACGTAACTCGTATCCGAGACAAGATTGCGGATGAGGAATATAGTAGATACCCTTTCCTCGTTATTGCAACAATTGATTCGAAGCTCTTCCGTCCGTGTATATAATATTCGCTATATAGTATTCGCGCCGATGTTCAATCTAAATCCTCGCGCCGAATGCGAAACAGCAGTTTCGATCTCGATTTCCAGCCTCGACCCTCCAGGGACGAATAATCTCTCAGCTGGACATTAAAAGCCAACGGTAGTGCGTTGCGACGATCGGACGATGGACCCCGCGGCACACGATGGAATAGCTCCCTGGTGGCCCCGTTAGAGTCGCATTCATCCCCTAGGAAGAGCGAGATTGCGCGGAAACCCCCACGAGTCCTCGACCCCGCGTAATTCCGTCATTTGGTCGACTTTACGAAATTGCGCTTTTTCTTCTCCACGTCGGTTGTATTATTCGATGAGAACGCTTCGTCAAGTTGACGTTTTTTTTTTATAGAAAAATTAATCAAATGAGCATCGTATCTGTCATGTTGCTCTATCAAGAGACGATAGAAAGAATAATACGTAATTATAAAGATGTGTGTGTGTGTATTTCTTTCTAATAATAATTTTTTATTTAGATAAGTATTCGTAATTTATCTAAAAATATGATAATTATTCATCTATCAGAAACTGTTCTCCAATTTCGCAAACATATGTAATATTGATTTTTTCCAATATATTTTTCTTTTATATTATTACTACAGTACGACCATATTTTTCTGAAAGAACAAATCTGACAATTTTAAAGCTTTATTTCAACCTTCCAAATCAGTTTGCGACCAAAGTGGAGATTGACGAGCAAAAAGTTATTCTGCGACTATCAGAAGTCTACGTACATATATTCTTCTAATTTGAAACTGATTCGATTTTGTTGAAACACATCCTTGGTTTCGTTATTTTCCGTACAATATGTTAATACTACGACATTAGACGCATTAAAACGCTAACTAAATAAAATAATAAAGGACAAAATTGAGTTTTGGAAAAATGAATAAATCTAAAGGACATCAGCTATTTAAAGGACTGTTCTGTAAAATAAAGGACGGCGGATGGTCACCCTAATTATTACACGCAGAAAGGGCAATTTTTTTGATGCAAAATTAAAGTATAATCTTTCGGATACATCTTGCGAGGGAGAAATAAAAATCTCGTCTCTCATTTTACTCTCTGGACGTTTTTCACGAGCGAGGAACGGCGTAATTTTGATAATTGCTACGCATTACGCACGTACATACATACACGTGGATATGCAAAACGGCGGACGACACGCACGACACGCGTACTCTGTACATATGTAATTTTTCGCCGGTGCTGGTTCACCTCTTCTACTATTTTTTTTATGTCGGGCGGTTCCAAGACTGCATCTGCAGCACGCGAATGCATCCCTCGAGGGCTCATCAAAGCGCCGCGCTGCCCAAACGCACCTTGCACCGTATGCACCTTCCTCTGGTTTTTGTAATCTCGATCATTGCACCATGGTACAGTGGCTCGTACTTATATTGTATATCCTCGTTCTCCGAGATACTCGGTATTTCCTTATTATTATCGTGCCATTACCCGAAATTGCCGCAGATAGAGCTGCAAACTTGACACCGCGTCTGCATTTAATGCATTTTAGCGCGGGAAATCGTGGACATTTTTATATATATCATATTCTATGAAAAATGAAGAATAAAACGAGCGTTTCTTGTTTCAACATCTCTTACAAATGACATGCGATTGTGTCAAAAATATTGATCGAGTTATTTTTATTTCACATTGACGAAGAATCCAGATAGAAAAATTCATTTTGACATCAAATTAAGTCAAAATGACTATAATTTTGCTACTTATGTAAGAAACGAAGCGTAAAATTGTAAAATGTATTAAATATTTCATAGAATCACGCAAGCAAGAATTTGCCTAGATTTCGCGGAAAGGCCGAATGTCCAAATTTTCTTTACATGATTTCGAATTTCATCTATTCATAAATTATGTAGAAGTAGAAATGCGAATGGAACAGTACAAAAATATATGCTGTGTTATCAAGCGCTATATTCGAATCAGCAGATGCGTGAGAATCGATATCGTCTTGCGGAAAATCCGCGAAAAGTTTTTGCAAATCGGAAAGCTGGCTGCTCGTCAATTTTCTTTGAGGTCAAAGCGCTGACTCGAAAATTCCGCGACTCAGTCAGTCAAAGACCAAAGGCGAGAGAATTTCATTTACGTCGTTCCGTCGTTCGCTTGCTTGTCCGAACGATGTAAAATTTTCGAAGAACGAAGAGCCAATCGTGCGTATACATCTGCGTTCCGTGCAGGTGCATAAGGGATAGAGAGGATCGATACCGGAGCGTATATACAATATTGTGGAAAATCTGTGGAAAAAAAATTCAGGGAAAAAAACGAGATGTTCTGAACGACTCCTCTTTGAAGTAGGACCCGGAGTCTTCCGAGATTTCGGGATTCCGGCGCCGCGCTACCAAAAGACCGAGAATTTCACTTACGTCGTCGATCTTGGCTTATCCGGGCCGCGTAAAATTTTCTGGAAACGAGTATACACACACACACACACACATACATACAATAATCGCATTTTCGAGAGAACCCAGGTGCGCCGTCGCGTTCCTCGCGGACGACGATCGGCGTGTGAGGAGAAACCGGGCATTGCCTTTCCCTTCCAGCCCTCTCACGTGCCGTCCCTTTTTCTTCGTTCCGACATATCGGGCACGATTTTTCAAAGCGACTCACGTCC